AGGAAAAGTTTTTTTTCTTTGTTCCTTGCGTTTGAATTTTTTTTATTATTATTTTCTTTCTTTTCGGTCGATATAATAGTTGGCAAAGCACTGTTTGCCAAAGAAAGTTTTGCCGGTGTCGGTTCATTTATATCGACCTTAGCTAGTAAATAGTAGTTAGGGGGGAGCTCACTCGTGAACCAGGGTTCACGGGCCACTAGGCATGCTTCGCTTAGCCTGTTACAGGTCAAGGGGCCCCCCAACCTGCTTGTAAACCTAGTATTTAGCTAGTATACGTGACTCCTTCTTATTATATAGAAGGAGTCAGCTCTCTTAGAACGAGAACAACAAGCAACAAATTGAGTATTTTACCACCGAGTGTTTTGCAATTGCAAGTACTTTGACGACGTCACGAATTTTACGAATATTACGAGAGATCGCTACCGGCGATCCAACAATCATGTGATCAAGGCTAAGCTTCTTACGTTTAAAGCGAACGCTATTGCTGTGAAAGACCACTTCGAGACTGACTACCGGCAGCAAGTAAAATACGACCGCTAAGAAGAAATTTCGTTAGATTTGATTAAGAAAGAGAATCTAAGGACCTCGCTTAGCGAGTGCTTTGAAAAGCTCGCTAAAGAGCTCAAAGGGATCCAAGGCTCTTTACGACCAAGTTTAAAGGATGATCGAAGTCTTGCTGACAAGTTGTATTCAGCTTGTAAAAACGTGCTAGAGACTACGATTGCACGTATGAACCTTGCGTTTACTTCTACCGCCGCAGTTGCCGATATCCGCCGAGCAATTGCATTCGTAACTAAGACCTTTCGACCCGCTAAAGCGAGTAGAGCTTACGCGAGCTTTAGCGAACCACACGATCACACTTGCTTTCACAACACTTTAGAAGCTGACTCCGATTTAGACGAGGAATACGAATGCTTTATTTAAGACCGCTAATACTTCGGAGGTAAGAAAGCTGCTAAGGCTACTATTGAAAGTGAGAAAAGGTGTTTTGTTTGCAAAAAGCTAGGTTGCTAAAGCACCAACCACACCCTCGACGAGAGAAAAGCATCCGTCGCTAAGTTCTAAGCTTTTAAAGACGCAAAAAGGGTGACGAAAAGCAAATTCTCTTAATACGTAGCATCGATTGAAGGCTTGCCACTTGTATCTACGGAAGAATTTGATCAGTTTATTGCAGGCTTACTAGACGAGCTACTCGAATCGGGCAGCTACGCTAACATATCGAAAAGTTTTATAATTACTTACGGCACCTTTAACGCTGACGAGGTATACAAACAGCTAGAGATCTAGACGGCATTCTACGCTTTTACTAGCTAAATCGAGACTTAAAACGTGCTCGAGGGCAAAGCAGAGATTTACATAGCTTTTAAGTACTCGGAAAACGTCTTTATAAGCCTTATGATCGACAGCGGAGCAGCTAATTTCTTTACCGCTAGCTTGCTTTAGCTACGAGCACTTTAAAAAAGGTACTTCGAAGTTTAATTAAATATATCTCGAGCAAAAGAGAAGTCCGTTAAATACGGGATCGGCTTTGCTACTTTTATTAAAGTAGTTATTCTAGATACTCTTTTAAGTCAAGTGGAGTTCTACGTTGTAAAGAGCGACGTACCTTTTTTATTCTCGTTAGCTGATATAGACAAGCATAAAGTGATCTTGGATAATCTGCGGAACGTGTTAGTTTAAAGGAAAAAGGAAATATTAATAGTAAGGATGTTTAAACACGTGTAGATGCTATTAAGTAAGAAGCACGCTGCTACTTATTATAGCACCGAAGGCGAAACCGTCTACTGCTACCTTACGAAAGAGCAATTGAGGACCATCTACAAGCGTTTTAGCTATCTTTTAGCAAGTCGATTTGCTATTATTCTTAAAAGGGCCGAGCACGAATTTAAACGGGATTTGCTTTACAACATCTAAAAGTTTTGCTACTACTGCTAAGTATTCGGACGCTCTTTAAAGAAGTTTAGTATCAGACTTAAAGATGATATTGACTTTAATGACACGGTATACGTCGATGTAATGCACTTTGACGGCAAGAACGTATTGCACGTCGTTTGCGATTCTATTAATTTTTAAGCCGCTACTTTCTTTAAAAGCATATCCGCATAGCACTTACTTAAAAGATTTAGTAGATATTAAGTTAATACTTACGTCGGACCTTTTATAAACGTCGTGCACGATCTCGAAACCAACTTTAATTCGGCAACGTTCCGAAGTTACTTTAAAGGTATTAATAGCACTTTAAAGCAGATGCTTGTAAAAGCTTATTATAGCGTCGGGCTAGTAGAACGCTACTACGTCTTTGTGCGACGCGCTTTTAAGATCGTTATAAAGGAGCTTCTTAAGGCCTTAAGAGAGGATCGGCTTCAAATAGCTATTAAAGCTATTAACGATATAGCGGGACTTAATAGCTTGGTCTTTACACTTTTCGTTTTTAAGACTTTACCGAAGCTGACGGAACAAGATCGACTTGCCGCGTCTACTTAAAAGCGTGCTGTTGCTATTAATAAGGCTATAAGAGAAGTACGAAAATGTCACGCCGCGAAGCAGGTTAAGGACGCGCTTAAAAGGAGGAATGGATCAATTACGGAGCATACTTTAGACCTCTTTATTGGTTCACGGGTACTCGTATGGCGGGAAAACTAAAGGTAGAAGGGCCCTTTTCAGCTGCTTAATAGGCAAAGGCACACGTGCATAGTAGCATGTCCGAGGCTTACGGAGTTCAGGTCAACTTTAGTAAAACCTTACTACTTTGAAGTTGAAAAGCTGCTAAAAGAGTTGCAGGTACTTAAGGTAGAAGTGGAAGAAGATTAAAGTGAAAGCGAAAAAAAGCTAGAACTACGAAATTCGCTTAAACCTTAACATTCGCTTAATCTTTTGCTGAGGCCGCGTAATCCGATAAGTCCGTTAAGACTAGCAAATAGCCTTTTTTCGAACCTTCAACTTGTTAATTTTTAGAGATCAACAATACTAATGGTCTAGATACTTTACTAGAAATACGATCTTAGTATCTCGACCGTGCTTGACGAAGAAGAAGGCGATTCTTACGTTTTATTTACTAAGGACTCTGAGGTGTTAGTTACCGATAAGGAACGCCGGGACTATGAGCTCTTAGCTAAGCTAAGAGCCGAAGGAATTATCAAGAGCTTTAAAGCACTATTTCAAGAGTCTAGAGCAAAGGAATTGGCTAGATTGATAGCTTAAGGTATCTGTTGGATTGCTTCCAAGCGATTGGGAATATATTCGTAACTTCGTAAGGTCGTCAAAGTACTTGCAATTGCAAAACACTCGGTTGATAAGGTATCTGAATTCTGTCTGCTCCCCAAGATTCAAGGGAGCTGACTCCTTCTATAGGATTAGAAGGAGTCACGTGCACTAGCTAACTAATAGGCCTACTTGTCAAGTTGGGGGTCCCTTGACTGCTGATATGCTAAGCGAAGCATGCCAAGTGGCTCGTGAACCATGGTTCACGGGTGAGCTTCCTTAACTACTACTACTACTATTACTAGCTAGCTAAGGTCGATATAGATATACCGACACCGGCAACTCTCTCTTTGGCAAGCAGTGCTTTGCTAACTACTATATCGACCGAAAAAGAAGGAAGGTAATCAAACAAAGGAAAATCAATCTCATTCTACTAAACCTCACTTTCTTTCTTCTTATAGCGGCCTTTCCACCTATCCGTCTACTTGCACCTTCAAGGTATTAGTCAAAACTAGCTTTTGCAAAAAGGTATTGGCTCCGACTTTAATTATGGCGTTAGCAGGGTTGGATTTTCCTCCGATCTAGCGTACCTTAAAGAGCTCCCGCCTCTCATATGACTCCCGAATAGCCATAATATCGATTATAAAGCGCTTCTCCTTAGTAGTCCTTAGCTTTATTATACACTCGTAAAGCGAGTAAGAGTCAGTGCACACAATTACGAGGAAATTAAGGATCCTTAGCTGAGCTGTGATTTAAGCAAAGGTAGTCGATATAGCAATGGCCATATCGATTCTTAAGGACATAGCGTATAGCTTAGAGGCTAGTACTGCCTTTGTCACCCTCTTGCACTTCTGTGACACTTAATAAAGGATGTTACCCGTCAGAGTGAACTCGTTCTCACTTACGTGAGCCTCATTGCTAAGGATAGCTACGAAACCGATTTAAGAGCTAAGGTCAACGTTATTAACAAACGCTCTATCTACGAACACGAAGAGCTTCGCCGTCCTTAAGTCTAAAGGCACGTAATAGATCCTTCGAGTTAAGTGATCGATCAGCTACTAGATCACTTTATTAAGAGCCTTATAATCCTCGTCCCTCGGTTCTTAGTGCTAGGCAGCCATCGATAAAGCACACGATGCCTTTAGGTAGCAAATAGTAGCTAAATACGCCCTTCGAGCACGTTGCTCTAAGTACTCTTTAGCCCGTATAGCTGAATCGAGCTTGATTACGGCAAGCCTCTTACCTTGCCCCTTTTGCTTAACTGATAGTCCGAACCCGTCCTTATCCAAAGATAGCTTGCATCTATTGAAAATCATCGGCTCGGCGTGTGTAAAGGTCTCCATTTCCTTGCTCCTCAGCTTGGATTTGACCAACTCTCTCTCTTCCTTTACCCTTATAGCTCGATTGACAACCATAAGAACATCGTCCGTCTATAAGGCAGCTATTCTTAGCTGATCTTTGTTAGTTAACACAAAGAGGCAAGAGTCAAAGCTCGATTGCTTTATGCCGAAGTTATTTGTAAAGTGCTCGGAAAAACGCTTATACTAGTGCGTCTTTGCTTCGAAGATGCCGTATAAAAGGCTAGTCATAAGGAACAAAGTCTCGAAGGGGAATCGATAGGTGATCTCTTTAAGTAGTCGCACGACGATTATTCGGATGAGCTTCGTACCTGACTGAGTGTAAGCTTAAGTGATATCCTTGCTATAGACCTGACACTCGTAGTCCTTTATTAGCGAAAGAGCTAGAGCATAATAAAGTCTTTGGCTCGCTCGCTGCACCGTAAGTGATTCGGTGAGTACCCTCGTTTTGCTCTTATCTTAAAAAGCTTGGACTATTATACGAGACTTCTCGTATAGCGTAAGTGTTCCTTTGCCTTTGATCTTATCAATAAACTTAGATCCGAAGATCTTGGCGCTCTTAATACGTAGATCGGTGCTCGGGATCACTTAAAGGATGCCTTAAGCCATTAATCCAGCCAATTCCTTTACTCTAGACTCTTAAAATAATGCCTTAAGGCTCTTAATAATCTTTTCGGCGCGCAGCTTAATTGAGAGCTCATAGTCCCGGCGTTCTTTATCGGTAATCAACACTTCGAAGTCTTTGGTGAATAAAACGTAAGAATCGTCCTCTTTCTTATCGAGCACGGTCGGGATATTAAGATCGTACTTTTAGTAAGGTATCTGGACTATTAGTATTGTTGACTTCTGGGAATTGACAAGTTGAGGGTTAAGGGCTGATCTTGGCGAGCTTCTTGGATTAAGCGACCTCGGTGGATTAAGCGAATGTTGAGGTTTAAGCGAATTTCGTATTTCTAGCTCTTTTTCGCTTTCGCTTTGATCTTCTTCTACCTTTTCTTTTACTTCTACCTCAAGTACTTGCAACTCTTCTGGCAGCTTTTCAGCTTTAGAGTAGTAAGGTTTTATTAAGGTCGACTTGAATTCTATAAGCCTCGGACAAGCCATTGTGCACGTATGCCTTTGCTTGCTAAGCAGCTGAAAGGGGCCCTTCTACCCTTGATTCTTTCGCTATACGAGCACTCGTAAGCCAATAAGGAGGTCTAGAGTATGCTCTGTAATTGGGCTATTCCTCTTCTTAAGCGCGTCTTTAACCTGCTTCGCAGCGTAGCATTTTCGTACTTCTTTTATAGCTTTGTTGATAGCAGCAGCACGCTCTTGAGTAAACGCGGCAGGTCGATCTTGTTCCGTTAGCTTCGGTAAAGTGTTAAAAACGAGAAGCGTAAGGACTAAGCTATTAGGTCCCGCCGTGTCGTTAATAGCTTTGATAGCCATTTGAAGCCGGTCTTCCTTTAAGGCTTTTAGAAGCTCTTTTGTGACGATCTTAAAAGCGCGTCGCACAAGGGCGTAATAGCGTTCTACTAGCCCGACGCTATGATAGGCTTTTATAAGCATTTGCTTTAAGGTGCTGCTAATACTTTTAAGGTAGCCTCGGAACGTTGTCGAATTAAAGTTGGTTCCGAGATCGTGTACGACGTTTGTAAGAGGTCCGACGTAAGTATTGATTTAACATCGACTAAATCCTTTAAGTAAGTGCTATGCGGACATGCTTTTAAGGAAGGTGGCGGCTTAAAAATTAATAGAATCGCAAACGACGTGCAATACGTTTTTGCTATTAAAGTGCATTACGTCTACGTATACCGTATTATTGAAATCAGTATCATCCTTAAGCCTGATACTAAACCTCTTCGAAGAGCGTCCGAATACTTAGCAATAGTAGCAAAACTTTTGAATGTTGTAAAGCAAATCCCGCCTAAATTCGTGCCCGGCCCTTTTGAGAACAGCAGCAAATCGACCTGCTAAAGGGTAGCTAAAACGCTTATGGATAGTCCTCAATTGCTTTTCCGTAAGGTAGTAATAGACGGTCTCGCCTTCGGTGCTATAGTAAGTAGCAGCGTGCTCTTTACTTAATAGCATTCATACGTGCTTAAACATCTTTACTATTAGTATTTCCTTTTTCTCTTAGACTAGTACGTTCCGCAAGTTATCTAAGATCACCTTATGCTTATCTATATCAACTAATGAGAATAGAAAAGGTACGTCGCTTTTTACAACGTAGAACTCTATTTAACCTAAAGGTGTTTCTAAAGTAATTGCTCTAATAAAGGTAACAAAGCCGATGCTGTATTTAACGGACTTCTCTTTTGCTCGGGATATATCCAATTAGACCTCGAGGTACTTCTTTTAGAGTGCTCGTAGTTAAGGCAAGCTAGCGGTAAAGAAATTAGCTGCTCCGCTGTTAATCATAAAGCTTATGAACACGTTTTCAAAGTACTTAAAAGCTATGTAAGTCTCTGCTTTGCCCGCGAGCACACGCGGATCTTGCTCGGGCATCTTTTGAGTCTCCACTTGGCTAGTAAAAGCGTAGAATGCCGTTTAAATCTCTAGTTGTCTATATACTTCGTTAGCGTTAAAGGTGCCGTAAGTAATCATAAAGCCTTCCGACATGTTAGCGTAGCTGCTCGATTCGAGCGGCTCGTCTAATAAGCCTGCGATGAACTGATCGAATTCTTCCGTGGATACAAGTGGCAAGCCTTCGATCGACGCTACGTATTAAGAGAATTTGCTTCTCGTCACCCTTTTCGCGTCTTTAAAAGCTTAAAACTTGGCGACGGATGCCTTTCTTTCGTCGAGGGTATGGTTGGTGCTCCAGCAACCTGGCTTCTTGCAAACAAAACACCTTTTCTTACTTTTAGTAGTAGCCTTAGCAGCTTTCTTACTTCCGAAGTATTAGCGGTCTTAAATAAAACATTCGTATTCCTCGTCCAAATCGGAGTCAGCCTTTAAGGTGTTATGAGAGCAAGTGTGATCGTGTGGCTCGCTAGAGCTCGCGTAAGCTCTAGCTTTAGCGAAAGGTCGGGAGGTCTTAATTGCAAAGGCAATTGCTCGACGAATGTTAGCAACTGCCGCGGTAAAAGTAAAAGCAAGATTCATTCGTGCAATCGTAGTCTTTGGCACGTTTTTATAAGCTGAATACAGCTTGTTAGCAAGACTTCGATCGTCTTTCAAACCCGGTCGTAGAGAGCTTTGAATGCCCTTAAGCTCCTTAGCGAGCTTCTTAAAGCACTCGCTAAGCGAGGTCCTTGGATTCTCTTTCTTGACCAAATCTAGCGAAATTTCCTCTTAGCGGTCGTATTTTGCTTGCCGCCGGTAATCAGTCTCGAAGTGGTCTCTTATAGCAATAGCGTTCGCTTTAAACGTAAGAAGCTTAGCTTTGATCATATAATTATAATAAAAAGTTATAGCTTCCTTCGTCAGCATAATAAGGAACGCCGCTAAGTAGTCGTTTAAGGTCAAACCGTATCGACTTGCCTAGTCAGCAAAAATCTTTAATTGAGTCTTGAAGTCATCGTCGAGTCTTGAATACTTCAGCTCTTTAAGAAAGCTTCGCGCGAACAAGGCTAACTCCTTTGCTCTTAAGTAAAGGTCCGTTGCTTTAAGCTTAAGGAAATCGTCTTTATCATCGTCAAGGGCGCTTAGAGTGCCGTACGTAAGCGTGCCGTGCTTAGCTAATAGTCGGATCGGTAAAAGGTTACCGATATAATTGCCGATTATAAGTCTTACCCTTTTAAGGTCTTTAAGAAGCTCATTTCCGGATCCGGGGTCCTTTAAAAGTCCGTTTCCGAATCTCCTTAGTGGTCTAAGGGGCTCGTTCCTACCCCCTTCGTATCCGTGCCCTCGATCTCTCTGCTAATCTCCCCCGTTTCCTCTTCGTCGGTCATCGTCAAGATCGCTAAGGCCATTCGGGTCACCGGCTAAGGCTCTAGCTTAGTGATATCCGTATCCTTAGGTTTGCTTTTAGCGATTCCTATACCTTTGGTCTCTCTTTTGTTGATACGTGGCCTTTTAAGAGATATGGGTAGCTTGCCGGTACGTTCGAGGGTGCTGGATCCCCCTTTCGGGTTGCTAAGATTAGGCACGGAAATCTGCACGCTGTCTTTAGTGAGAGTTGATTTTGTTCGGAATGCTCTTAGGTTTTGGCGGGTCCTCTTTTAGCGTGTAGCTGCCATTGCCTTACGTATTGTCAGGCCCGATTATGCTTTCGGAGCCGTTGTTGTTGCTACTCGGTCTTGGGTTTTAAGAAACCCGGTTGTAGCTCTTGAAAAAGGGGTTTAAAGGGCGCTGAGGCGATTTTGGCTCCTATTGTATGATTAGCGTATTGCGTAGCGATTAATGGATTGAGGACGTCGAATACGCTGAAGTGCTTCGTCGCAGCCCTTCGTTGGATTGTATAGCGTAGGTCCGTAATTCCGCTATTTGCCTTGCTATAGCCTCTATATTTTGCTTTATATTCCTCTTCTCTTTCGCAAACTCTTCGCGTAATCTCCGAATCTCTTTTCCTTCTTCTCTCTTGCTTAAGGTTTCCTTTTCCTTCTTTTTTAAGCTTCGCGGAGGTAAAGGTAGAGGTGGTTGAGGTGTAATATCCTCGTCGTCCGTGAGGTTTTCGGCGGTCCACCTTAAATCGAAGCTTAAGAGTGTTGCTTATTGCTCTTTTATTTCCTGGAAAGTCCATTAGTGCTGCTGCTCGTCGTTCAAGAGCTTGACCATCCCATTGGCGTAGCCCCTTTGCTTTAAGGGGCACCATACGCCTTTGGACAGCAAGTGTTCCTTAAGGCTAATAAGGGTAGCAAATTTAAGGCCTCGTCCCGTATTGTCCCCCGTCATCGTAAAACTCGTCTAATCCTAGCGTGAGAAAGCGTGCCGGAATAAGCTCTATAAGTCGTAATCTCTCAGCCCTTTATATTTCGCATCCAAGAAGTCTTTCACTATCGCTCGGGCCGTGATCTTATTGTTTAGCCTTGCGTATAGTAGCTCGTTTAGGTCAAATGAGATGCTCGACATCTCGTCATCTGGCCCTTCCGAGAGGCTTAGGAGTCCTGGGTATAGGGTTTGTTTTGGCTGAATAGCTAGGGGTTCCGTGGATAATGATGAGACTCGAAGGGTATAATACTTTATTGCTCTTTGTCGGCTAGACTCCCTACCCGGAGGTCTAATTACTCGATCGGCTATAATTGCTGTCTGCTCGTACGTAGATCGATCTTGTTGGTTAGGTTTGCTATATATAGCAAGCGCGGCTCTTACAGCGTTGAAGGTTGTTGTTTTTAAAAGTGACTTGGTTCGGAATCACTCTTCCGTAAGAATAAAGAAAAATCGGTAGTATAGAAAGCGACTTGGTACGGAATCGCTCTTCCGTTGTAAGAGAAAGGTATCGTAATAAAAGGTATCCTCGCTATAGAGTCCTAGCTTCTTTGTGATTGATCACTTAATAGTAAATCAACCATTGATCAGTGTTGGATTGCTTCTAAGCGATTGGGAATATATTCGTAACTTCGTAAGGTCGTCAAAGTACTTGCAATTGCAAAACACTCGGTTGATAAGGTATCTGAATTCTGTCTGCTCCCCAAGATTCAGGGGAGCTGACTCCTTCTATAGGATTAGAAGGAGTCACGTGCACTAGCTAACTAATAGGCCTACTTGTCAAGTTGGGGGTCCCTTGACTGCTGACATGCTAAGCGAGGCATGCCAAGTGGCCCGTGAACCATGGTTCACGGGTGAGCTTCCCCAACTACTACTACTACTACTACTAGCTAGCTAAGGTCGATATGGATATACCGACAGTATCTTTTAAGTGATTCCGAGCACCGACTTACGCGTTAAAAGCGCTAAGATCTTCGGATCTAGGTTTATTGATGAGATCAAGAGCAAAGGAACACTTACGCTATACGAGAAGTCTCGTATGGTGGTCTAAGCCTTTTAAGACAAGAGCAAAACGAAGGTACTTATTGAATCACTTACGGTGTAGCGAGCGAGCTAAAGACTTTGTTGTGCTTTAGCTCTTTTTTTGATAAAGGATTACGGGTGTTAGGTTTGTAGCAAGGATATCACTTAAGCTTACACTCAGTTAAGTACGAAGCTTATCCGAATAATCGTCGTGCGATTACTTAAGGAGATCATTTATCGATTTCCTTTCGGCACTTTGTTCTTTATGACTAGCCTTTTGTATAAGATCTTCGAAGCAGGAACGTATTAGTATAAGCGTTTTTTAAAGCATTTTACGGACAACTTCGAGATAAAGTAATCGAGCTTTGATTTTTGCTTCTTTGTGTTAATTAATAAGGATCAGCTAAGAATAGCTGCTTTATAGACGGATGATGTTCTTATGGTTGTTAATCTAGCTATGAAGGCAAAGGAGGAGAGAGAGCTGGTTAAATCTAAGCTGAAGAGCAAGGAAATGGAGACTTTTATACACGCCGAGTTAATGATTTTCAATAGATGCAAGTTATCTTTGGATAAAGAAGGGTTCGGACTGTTAGTTGAGCAAAAAGGGCAGAGTGAGAGGCTTGTAGTGATCAAGCTCGATTCAGCTATACGAGCTAAAGAGTACTTAGAGCAACGTGCTCGAAAGGCGTATTTAGTTATCATTTGCTATTTAAAAGCATCTTGCGTTTTATCGATAGCTGCTCAATACTAAGAACCGAAGGACGAGGATTACAAGGCTTTTAATAAGGTGATCTAGTGGCTGATCGATCACTTAACTCGAGGGATCTATTACGTACTTTTGGACTTAAGGACGGCGAAGCTTTTTGTGTTCGTGGACGGAGCGTTTGCTAACAACGCTAACTTCAGCTCTTAAATCGGTTTCGTGGTTATCTTTAGCAATAAGGCTTACGTAAATGAGAACGAGTTCACTTTAACGGGTAATATCTTTTATTAAGTGTTACAAAAGTGCAAGAAGGTGATAAGAGCAGTATTAGCCTTTGAGCTATACGCTATGTCTTTAAGTATCGATATAATTATTGTTATGTCGACTACTTTTGCTTAAATTACAGCTCAGCTAAGAATACTTAATTTCTTCGTGGTTGTTTGCATTAACTCTTATTCGCTTTACGAGTGTATAATAAAGCTAAGGACTATTAAAGAGAAGCGCTTAATGATCGATATCATGGCTATTCGGGAGTCATACGAGAAGCGAGAGCTCTTTAAGGTACGTTAGATCGAAGGAAAATCCAACTTTGCTAACGCTATGATTAAAGTCGAGGCTAATACTTCTTTGCAAGAGCTAGTTTTGACTAATACTTTAAAGGTGCAGGTGGACGGGTGGGTGGAAAGGCCGCTGTAAGATAAGGAGGAGTAAGGTTTAGTAGAGTGATTGTTTTTCTTTTGTTTTGATCACTTTTTTTCTTTTTTCGGTCGATATAATAGTTAGCAAAGCACTACTTGCTAAAGAGAGAGTTGCCGGTGTCGATATATCTATATCGACTTTAGCTAGTAGTAGTAGTAGTAGTAGTAGTTGAAGAAGCTTATCCGTGAACTATGGTTCACGGGCCACTTGGCATGCTTCGCTTAGCATGTTAGCAGTCAAGGGACTTTTAACTTGACAAGTAAACTTATTAGCTAGCTAGTGCACGTGATTCCTTTTAATCGTATAAAAGGAATCAGCTCCTTTGAGCCTTAAGGAGCAGACAGAATTCAGATACTTTATCAACCGAGTGTTTTGCAATTGCAAGTACTTTGACGACCTTACGAAGTTACGAATATATATTCTTAATCGCTTGGAAGCAATCCAACATTTACTGCCGCAGTTGCCGACATCCGCCGAGCAATTGCATTCGCAATTAAGACCTTTCGACCCGTTAAAGCGAGTAAAGCTTACGCGAGCTTTAACGAACTACACGATCACACTTGCTCTTATAACACTTTAAAGGCTGACTCCGATTTGAACGAAGAATACGAATGCTTTATTTAAGACCGTTAATACTTCGGAGGTAAGAAAGCTGTTAAAGCTATTATTAAAAGTGAGAAAAGGTGTTTTGTTTGCAAAAAGCTAAGTTGCTAAAGCATTAACTATATCTTTAACGAAAGAAAAGCATCCGTCGCTAAGTTCTAAGCTTTTAAAGACGCAAAAAAGGTGACGAAAAGCAAATTCTCTTAATACGTAGCATCGATTAAAGGCTTGCTACTTGTATTTACGGAAGAATTTGATTAGTTTATTACAAGCTTATTAGACGAGCTATCCGAATCGAGCAGCTACGCTAATATATCGGAAGGTTTTGTGATTACTTACGGCACTTTTAACGCTAACGAAGTATACAAATAGCTAGAGATCTAAACGGCATTCTACGCTTTTACTAGCTAAATCGAGACTTAAAACGTGCTCGAAAGCAAAGCAAAGACTTATATAGCTTTTAAGTACTCGGAAAACGTCTTTATAAGCCTTATGATCGATAGCGGAGCAGCTAATTTCTTTACCGCTAGCTTGCTTTAATTACGAGCACTTTAAAAGAGGTACTCCAAGGTTTAATTAAATACATCTCGAGCAAAAGAGAAGTCCGTCAAGTACGAAATCGGCTCTGCTACCTTTATTAAAGCAATTACCTTAAATACCTTTTTAAGTCAAATAGAGTTTTACGTTATAAAAAGCGACGTACCTTTTTTATTCTCGTTAGTTGATATAGATAAGCATAAAGTGATCTTAGATAATCTACGGAACGTGTTAATTTAAGAAAAGAAAGAAATACTAATAGTAAAGATGTTTAAGTACGTGTGGATGTTATTAAATAAAAAGCACGCTGCTACTTATTATAGCATCGAAAGCGAAACCGTCTATTGTTACTTTACGAAAGAGCAATTAAAGACTATTTATAAGCGTTTTAGCCACTTTTTAACAAGTCGATTTGCTATTGTTCTTAAAAGGGCCGGGCACGAATTCAAACGGGATTTGCTTTACAACATTTAAAAGTTTTGCTATTACTGCTAAGTATTCGGACGCTTTTCGAAGAGGTTTAGTATTAGACTTAAAGATGATACTAATTTCAATAACACGGTATACGTTGATATGATGCACTTTAACGGCAAAAACGTATTGCACGTCGTTTGCGATTTTATTAATTTTCAAGCCGCTACTTTTTTTAAAAGCATATCCGTATAGCATTTACTTAAAAGATTTAATAGATATTAAGTCAATACTTACGTCGGACCTTTTATAAACGTCGTGCACGATCCCGGAACCAACTTCAATTCGGCAACGTTCCGAAGCTACTTTAAAGGTATTAGTAGCACTTTAAAGCAAATGCTTATAAAAGCCTATTATAGCGTCGAGCTAGTAAAACGCTATTACGTTTTTGTGCGACGCGCTTTTAAGATCGTTATAAAAGAGCTTTTTAAAGCCTTAAGAAAGGATCGGCTTCAAATAGCTATTAAAGCTATTAACGATATAACGGGACTTAATAGCTTAGTCTTTACACTCTTCGTTTTTAAGACTTTACCGAAGCTAACGGAATAAGATCGATTTGCCGCGTCTACTTAAGAGCGTGCTACTGCTATTAACAAAGTTATAAAAGAAGTACGAAAATGCTACGCCGCGAAGCAAGTTAAGGACGCGCTTAAAAAGAAGAATAAACTAATTACGAAGCATACTTTAGACCTCTTTATTAGTTCACGAGTACTCGTATAGCGGGAAAACCAAAAGTAAAAAGGCCTTTTTCAGCTGCTTAATAAGCAAAGGCACACGTGCATAATGGCATGTCCGAAGCTTACGGAATTCAAGTTAACTTTAATAAAACCTTACTACTTTGAAGTTGAAAAGCTGCTAAAGGAGTTACAAGTACTTAAAGTAAAAGTAAAAGAAGATTAAAGTAAAAGCGAAAAAGAGCTGGAACTACGAAATTCGCTTAAACCTTAACATTCGCTTAATCTCTTGCTAAAGCCGCGTAATCCGACAAGTCCGTTAAAACTAGCAAATAGCTCCTTTTCGAATCTTTAACTTATTAATTTTTAGAAATCAATAATACTAATAGTTTAAATACTTTATTAAAAGTACGATCTTAATATCCCGACCGTGCTCGACGAAAAGGAGAGCGATTCTTACGTTTTATTTATTAAAGACTTCGAAGTGTTAATTACCGATAAAGAACGCCGAGACCATAAGCTCTTAGCTAAGCTACGAGCCGAAGGAATCATTAAGAGCTTTAAAGCATTATTTTAAGAGTTTAAAGCAAAAGAATTAACTAGATTAATAGCTTAAAGCATCCTTTAAGTGATTTCGAGCACCGACTTACGCGCTAAAAGCGCTAAGATCTTCGGATTTAGGTTTGTTAATAAGATTAAAAGCAAAAGAACACTTACGCTATACGAGAAGTCTCGTATAATAGTCTAAGCCTTTTAAGATAAAAGCAAAACGAAAGTACTTATCGAATCACTTACGGTGCAGCGAGCGAGCTAAAGACTTTATTATGCTTTAGCTCTTTCTTTAATAAAAGACTACGAGTGTTAAGTCTATAGCAAAGATATCACTTAAGCTTATACTTAATTAAGCACGAAGCTTATCCGAATAATCGTCGTGCGATTATTTAAAGAGATCATCTATCGATTTTTTTCCGGCACTTTGTTCTTTATAATTAGCCTTTTATATAAGATCTTCGAAGTAAAAACGCATTAGTATAAGCGTTTTTCAAAGCATTTCACGGACAACTTCGAGATAAAGCAATCGAGCTTTGATTTTTGCTTTTTTATATCAATTAATAAAGATTAGTTAAAAATAGCT